ATTTTAAGGATATTAACTCTGTGTTATTTTGTCATTATGAGTTGGTTTGTCATTATGCTTTTAATCTTATTTTTTATATCCTTTGGATTTATACAACCTTTTGTATATGCAACTTGTATCAATGTTTGTGTTTTCTGACTTTAACATTGCTGCTTAGAAATTCTTCCTCCCAACTACATTTACATAAATATTTATCTGTATTTTCATGAAGCATTTTAAGATTTTATTTTTACATACCTCCCCAACTTTCTAGTCCATAAAACTTTTTCTCATACAAACCAAACTCTGCATACTAAGCTATTTAAAAAGCAAATATCTGAGAATAATATCTATGGTTTCAAAACTACTCCAAATATAACAGTGCAGAGAATGGGGGAGTGAATTTTATTTCAACTGCCAAATGATGAGTTTCACTGCCAAAATATAATTATGAGCCATTTTAAGGTGAGGACATAAACTAAGAATAAATTATTATGTTTAATGATGTAAATTAATTCTTATTAGATTAAGGCAAAGCTGATTAGGAAACCTGCAATTATAGAATGATATGTTATGTTGCTTGCTGAGTTAGAAAGAGCATGGGACTGCGAGGTACACAATAGCAAGGTCTAGTCCTGACTCTGGTAGTAATTAGTTTGGGGATCCTGGGCAGTTCATTTGATCTCTGAGCTTCAGTCTGCTCATCTTTCTAAGGAGGTCACTGGACTCCTTAGATGATATCCATTAGGTAAAGTAAGGTATGCATAGCATCAAAGTGTTAAGATTTCCTACATGGACTCAGGGGAAAAAACAATCAAATTATCAGCTCCTTAATTTTAAGATGGAAGATACTATAATTCCAGAGCTGGGGGTAAAGAAATCAAGTGCCAAATGTATAGCAAATTCTTACCAAATAGTTAAGAAGAGCAGGCCATGGCTTTTAAAGCACTTATGTGAGTTTACTTTAACAAATAACAGAAGTGTGTTCTTTATAAGATGAGCTGTTATGACACATTTTTAATGATTATTCACTGTTATATTTTAGCATTTCTTAACGTGATAGAAGAACATGCTTTGCTAAGAACATCCATGGGGGGAAAAAGTTAGTCTTCCATTAGCCTGGAACTTGAAAAAGCAAGCAATCTAACCAGAATGATGCCTAAAATGTATAACAAACAGCATGACATAGAATGGTCTCTGGATATGAACTGCTGGCCATTCTAAGTGACCACTGTAAGCCAGAGGAATTACAGAGTATACCCAAAACTCAGCTAGGAAATTAGAGATTAAAGTTGAAAATAAATGAATAAGGTCTCTGCCATTCCAGATAGGGAAAGAGATAATCAACAAGGAAACATAAATCCATTTAAAGTATGGGTAGCCATAGTTTAAATGAAATCTACTTAAGCAGGTTAAGTAGATAGAGTGATCAAGGGTGAGGGTATTTTAAGTGGAATGCTCAAGGACATTCTCTAAAGATGTGAGAACAAATTTTGAGCAGACAGTTAAATGATGAGGAGACAACCCTTGGAACATTTGGGGGAAAGCACATCCAGGCAGAGGGAACAACAGCAGATTAAAACTAAGGGGAGTGGAAGCTTGGAGCACTATTTGAAGGACTCTAGGAAGGCCAGTGTAGGCAGAGTGGAATTAGTGGGAGATGTAGGACCTCGGATCATAGTGGGACACACAGAGATGAGGCCAGAGAAGCAAGCAGTGGTCAGATCTTACAAGGACAGATACTATGTACAATGGAAAGCTACTTGAGGGTTTTAAGCAGAAGACAGATATGATTGATTTAGCATTCAAGAAGATAATTCTGGCTGCTATGAGGAGTGTGGACTTATGGCAAAAGTTAACAGGGTTTTGGGAGTCTTGCCGATATCATAGACTAAGGAGGTTGTGATGGAAGAGATAAGAAATGACCACATTGAGGATATATTTAGAAAGTAAAATCATTATATTCCTCCCTGTGCTGAGATTCTGCTTTTAAGGCTAAAATCTTGGAGGTTTCAAATCACATTTTTTATGGGACATAGTTCCCTTTTATAAGCCCATTTCAAATATGTCACTTATAAATGATGGCAAACTTTTGAAGTAACATAAAAGAAAGTTGGTTGCTTTTAAATGTCTAATATTCATGTTACTAGGAGAAGATAAAGTTAAATTTTATGTGGGATTTAATGAAATCCTTTATCATTTGTTCCTATTAAAGTTTCTGGCTGAAACTTTGTAACCCAGACAGTTAAGAAGCTAAAAGTTGTTTTGTAATATTTGTCTAGGAACTTGAATATGAAAGACCTTTTACACTTAAAAAAAAGTTTAACAAAATAGTTTTACCATGTGTCTATGCAAAAAAACAAATTGGAGTCACAGAACATAGTTACTTTTGAGATCTCAAACGATGTCCTTACAGAACATTCACCAATCCTCTGCTTCATGGCTTTTCTGCACTTGTGTTGACTCCTCCTTTGGATACAGTTCCATTATTCCTTCTCCAGAATGTTTCCAATGCTAGCTGCAAGGATGTGAAAAATCACCACACAGTTTCTATTGATGGTTCTAGCTTGACCAGAAGATGGCTACATGATGAGAGCATGCCATTTACCTGAGAACTCAATTTCTTATTGTTAAAATGAGATTGGACTAGATAGCCCTACACCTATTTCCAGATCCAAGATTTTAAAAAATGATTTTTTAAAATTTTCACATGTGGTCAACACAATCCATTACTTGCTTTGTCATTTTGGGGTTGATAATTAATCTATAGATCTCTAGTTCAAATCTCTCTCCCATTAGATTAATTCTCATTAAAAAAAAATCTCCTTCTGAGAATCTCTACCTAAATATTCTACAGGCACCTGAAACATTCAAGTCTATTATTAACTTTCCCCAGGAACTTGCTCCTTTTTCTGTATATATTTCTCACAGTGTCTAACATTTCTCTCTCTTTGAGTCTTCTATCCCATGTTTATTTCATCTATTAATACCTTTCAAGACTCCAGTCAAAGAGTCAGTTTGGTATGTGAAAGCTTTTCAAACTCACCTCCTAGAAGTACAATTGTCGATCTTTTGTATTATACCAATTAGACTGGTATCAGAGCATGAGCTTATTGTACCTGTTGATATATTTACATTTTTAACTCCTTCAGGGAAGAAATTGGTTATTTCCTTCTTATTCAACCTTAGCTTATAAAGCACACTAGTACATGGGACGTGATTAACAAACGTTAAATGAACCAGTGAAAATGAAAATTATATGATTTAAGAATTGCTTATGTCATTATCTCAACTGGTATTGTGGCTTGAACATGTTTTGAATATGACTCCCCAGGACTCAAGTGTTGGAAACTTGGTCTTCAATGTGTTGGTATCCAGAGGTTGTAAGACCTTTAAAAGTTGGGGCCTACTATGAGGTCATCATGTCACTGGGGGAATAATGTATTTCTCTTGGGACTTCAGTTTCTCTGTCTTCTGTCTTGCCATGTGATTTCTCTCACACACACACATGTCCATTATGATGCCATATGCCATTTGACCTTCACAGGAGGCCAAATAGAAGGAGTTATCCAATCTTGGACTTTTAGCATCCAAAGCTGTGAATTAAATAAGCCTTTTTTCTGTATAAAATACCTCAGATATTTTGTTATAATAATGGAAAATGAATTAATTTACCTGGCATATATCCTCACCTCTTATAGTCTTGTCAAGACATAGAAAAGCCATTGATTGCTTGCTCTCCTTCTCAGTCTCACCTGATTATGAAAACTCATCAGTGCTCACCTTCGTTTGTTTATATACATCCTTCCACTATGAGAATTTAGTTTTCATTTAATATATATTATATTTTTCAGAGTGCAGAGACATATTTCCCTGAGGTTGAGATTATTTATAATGATATCTAGTATCTAGTCAGTTTTCAATGCATATTCATTCCTCAAACCCCAATTTGACTCAGTTCTCTGTTGGTAAACAGCTAAAATTTTCTATGACATAGACATTTATATATAAACCAGTCTCATCATGAGCAATTAACAAATGCACTTCCAACTTCTCAAAATGTTAATGAAATTTAGACCTGGTACTTTGCTCTCACTTAGTAAGTATACTTAGATAAATAAGCTGTCATATTTGAGTGGCTGAGTATTTCTCAGCATCATCTCTGAATTCTTCCAACTCCCTGGTCAGACTGGTGTTAGATTCAGTTCTTCTCATATTTTTTTTTTTAATTTACTGGTGCTTGAATAATTCTCATGAAAGTTACATACAAATGGGAGACAAGATTGCCTTTGGGGAGAAATTTCTGATTTAGAGATCCATTGCTATCTTGAATTTATTCAGACTTGTCTGAGACAACCCTCTTAGAACTGTTCTTGATCATCTTTCCTTCAGTGGGTAGTACTTGGTCACTCCCATGGTCATTTTTTTCCCCTTCCTTTCTTCCTTACTTTGGTTATAAGAGTCAGGAATAGCTTTTGGAAGTTAGTTTATCTTTGAAAATATCAGCAATATTGTGGATTACCTCAGGATTAAACATGATGCATAATCTAGTTTAAACCAAGCAAGCATCAATATTGATAATTATTATTATTCTTACTCTTTATTAAGCACTTTATTAGGTGCCAGCTATAATTGCATAATTAATACATTCAGTTCTCAAAACAATCCTGAAGTTTAAGCATTTCATACCAACCCTTTGTAAAGGGGAGGATAGAGAGGTTAAGGAAGTCACCTGAGGTCACATACCAGTGGATGGTCCAGTTAAAATATGATCTTTTATGTGCCCCATTTTCTTTTTCACTAATACTTACAAGAGAATGTTGATACAGTTGTTCATGTCTTGAATGAGGAGGGTTCTTGTGAGCAGATGAAAAATTGTGACCTGTTCACTAAGAATGTAGTTCTTTTTCTGCTGTCACTTATTTGGAAGAAGATTCAGAATGCTAAGTTGTTGAAACCCTGCACATAATGAATTATACAGAGGATTGACTGATGCACATGAATGTTCCTTTGCCTTCTAGAAAGATTTCCAACCTGCAGAAGCCTCAGACACCAACTGGGAATCGGTCACAAGTTCGAACTCAGTAAGTAATTTATTAATCCATTGCCAGTGAAAGAAACTGATGCAATAGCTAAAGTCAAGTCCAGAAGGACTCCAGCTGTATTAAGGACCTGTTGCTTGACCCTACATCATATCTCAGGCAGGGTATGTTCTTCCATTTTGATCAGGTTAGAATGAATTCTGTCAGTCACCCCTTTGGGCCTTTTACGAAGGCTTTCAGGAATTGCCAATAAACCATTGTAGGAACTTGGAATAGACAATGACTTAACTATTTGTCCATTTAAAAGAACAGCATTTCAACAAAATGACTGTTCAGACTTATCCAAGTGATTTGTGGTCCCAGTTCAAGTGGGTAATTTTGAAATGGCTTTCTGAATATTTTAGGAGAAGCTGTTAACCTTTGTACTTCAAGGATCATTTCAGCCTTGGAAAATCCCAGTGTTTACAGTAAGATAACTGTAAGCAGGTGAGTAGTTTCACAAATCAGCTGCATACAGTATTCTATTTGACTTGGATATAAAACATAACTCACCCTGAGGCTGTAAAATGGTTCACACCCCTTTTCTTTTCCCTCCAAATTTAGTCATTTCTTAGTTTTCTGTATCCTTATCTACTATGCACAGAAAAATCAGAACTTGTGTTCACCAATCTTACATGTAGTACCTATGTACCAACAAAACACAATGTAATAAATGCAGTTGTTCATATAAAGGTCAGGAACATGGAGAAAGGATGTCCTTGGTTCTAAAGTGGGTCCATGTGGCCAAATCAGGCTTGATTTGTTTTTCAACACTGATATACTCTCTTTTGAGGATTTTCTTAAATTCACTCATTTGGCAGGATTTCTTCAGCTATGGATTCTGTGACTCTAGTTCACCTGATGTGGCTGCTGAACTAGATAGAACATCATCTGATCAAGAGATCAGTGAGGTCTCAGATGGTGGTCTGAATGTTTTATTAGTTTGCTTTGAACATTCCAGAATGTATGATCTGAACCTAGTTCAGAGTATGTGATCATTGTAAGATGGGTGAAAATCAGAATAGAATAAAGCTAAGCAGAAGGGCTGGGCATTGGCAGCCTGAGGCTAATAACTCAAAGTAAATGCCAGCATCAGCTTTTACAACGAAGTTGATTATCAAGGGATCCTCCAACTTCTCAAGCATTTTATGTATAATAGCTCAGAGTTGTCCAATTATTCCTCCACCACATGCAGAATTACACTTTAAAGGAGGTTTAACTAATTAAGGATAATCCAGGTTGTGGTAGTCGTTTTTCTCAGCACTGTAATAAAATGCCTGGCTCTCAGTTTTGGAGGTCCTAGTCTTTGATCATTTGTCTCTACTGCTTTGAGCCTGGAGCAAGGCAGCACATCATGGTGGAGCTCATGACAGAGTAAAACCACTCACCTTACAGCCAGGAAGCAGAAGAAGGGAAGAGGAGGAGTTGTATTCCCACAGTCCCCTTCAGGGGCAGATCTCCAGCAATCTAAGGACCTCAATTCCTAAAGACTCCACCATTTCCCAACAGCACCACCCTTGGGAGCCGCCTTTAACATATGGGGAACTATCCTAGTCCAGCTTTTTCACTGCTGACCAAAATACCTGACGAGAATAATTTTAGAGGAGGAAAAGTTTATTTGGGGGCTCATGGTTTCAGAGGTCTCACCATAGAGAGCTGACTCCAATCCTTGGGGCGTGAGGTGAAGAAGAACATCAAGGAGAAAGAGTGTGGAAGAGGAAAGTGTCTCAGAACATGGCCAGCAGGAAGCAGAGTGTTTCCCTCACCATGAATAAAATATGAACCCCAGGGACATGTCCCCAGTGACCCACCTCCTCCAGTCACACCCTACTCACCTACAGTTTTTCACTCATTTAATCCTTATCTGCAGATTAATGCACTGATGAGGTTAAGGTTCTTATGACCCAATCATTTCACCTACAGACATTCTTGCATTGTCTCACATGTGAGCTTTTGGGTGACATCTAATATCTAAACCATAATAGGAACATTCAAGATCCAAACTGTAGCACGGGTACTCAGAAAGAGGGGTTGCTCCTCTGTTTGAATATCTGAGAAAGTTTATCCCTGAGCCCCTATCCAGTGGAAATTTTTGGCTTGAACTATAAGTCAGGGTGTTGCTTGGCCCTGTTGGAAGATCAAAAAAGAGATAGCTTTTTTGTTTTTTGTTTTTTTAATAACCTAGTTTTCAAGAACCTTCTGCAGTAGGATCAAGGGTTATTAGACCTCTCATTAAGTTTTATATAAACCAACTTTGTTTTTGTTTAAAAGAGTTTACAGAGTATTCTTCACAAATTGTTATAATTTTAAAGGAATTTGATTAACTTTAGAAAGGATTTTTTTTAATATATAACTAACACTGAATGAGATTAAATGTATAGTGCAGCTGAAGGAGGCACACCCAATTGGCTCTTTATCTCAAAAATAGTTTTTAAATATTTACTTCAGAAACAAATATTCTTGTGTGTTCATTAGCTCCCCTAATGACTCATAAATATTTTCTTAACTATCATCACGGTGTCCATCAACTACCCCAAGTTAAAACTTGAAAACAGCTCATCTATAAGGACAAATTTGTATTTTACCTATGGTGTGGATTTGCTCTTCAAGTTAATATTAGAAGAGATTAGACTTCTCTCTCCCCCTCAGGGACTGAGAGTAACTTCAGAGTTTTCTCTTCAGTATCTAGGTGCACACTATACTCCAGGCACTATTAAGGGCTGTCCCAGAATACTCCTTGCAGCTGTTTTCCCCAGAGCTAATACAAGAAGCTTTCACTTTTGTGGAAATGACTTGATATGAATCAAATAGATTAAATTATCTAGAACAACATGAGCTGGATGGGGACTCGGCATTATAAGTGTAATCTACCCTTAGCATGCAGTATCAAGAGAGTTGGAAAGACAGAAATTAGGTGCTTCCGTCAAGGCTTACCCCCCGCCACACACACACACAGAGCTAGATTAAAGAGTTAAGAACAGAACCACCTATCAAAAACAGAAGGAACAAATATGGTGGCACCCAGATGAGAGTCATAACAACAAGATGACTGTAGAAGATGTCTTTATCATGAGTAGAACTATTAACAAATCTCTAAACTCTTCAGTAACATATGACAAAGATAAGTGATTATCTGAACATGCCTGGGCAGAATATAGAGTGGACTCATATGCACGTAATGAAAGTAGTATGGCAGAAAAAGTTTGGTCTAGGATTAGAATGTCTAGTTACTGTGACAGGGCTTACTGAAAGTCAGATGTCTGCTTTCTCTAGGTAAAAAACAACCACCACCATGGAAACTATCCCAATCTGGCCAACACAGTCACCAAACCACCTCATGCCTTCTACCCTACTCCCCAGCTCCTGTCCCCACTTCCTTTTACCTGCAGGGCATCTTTAAAAACTGCTTTTGTGTTACACTCATGGTAGATTAATGCTTTCAGGTTCATCAAATCACTTACCAGCCTTTGGACCTTGAGTGGTTAAAGAAAGGAAACATGGCCTGAGAGTGAGAATATAATTTGAGAGGTTGGCTGTCTGAGACTCTATAGTGCATATTATTTCTTGATAGGACACTGCAGTTAAGTTTCAGGAAAGCAAGTTTTCATTAATTTCCATTCTCCCTTAGTGATAAGAGCTATTTGCCCTTGGGGGATCTTATTTGTTTGGCAGTTTCTTTAAAGACATTTAGAAATCATTTGAGGCTATGTGCTCTCTATTTCCCTGTTAATGGGTCATGAATTTTTACAGAGATGTTTGAATCATGGCTCATTTACCTCCAGATTGTACAAGGGTTAGTGAAGTAAGTGCTTGGAAACCTTATGTGGGGATGTTTTATTTCCATGGCAAAATATATAATCCTTTCCAGTCTTCCAGTGGTGCTATATTCCTCATTTAAAGAATATTCAGGAATTTTTTAATGACAACTGGGATCACTAGCAAACCACAGCACTTTTTTTCCCCTTTTAATAAGTTTCCCCTGTGAATCTTGCACTTGTCAGTCAAGAGAGTTGTATGGCTAATTATCCTGTTGACAGTAAATAAATTGGTTAAAGTGAAAAATTTTATCAAAATGCCCCTAGAGTCTAGTGAAACAGTGCTCACACAATATCTGTAAGGCTAGGTGACCTGGGGCAGAGGCTAAGTGTGGGAGAATAGAATGAATTAAGAAAACTTGTTTGGATGGAGTTCAGAACTATAATTCTCACCATTATTAATTGATATATGGATGACTAGGGACCTTGAACCAAGAAGTTTGATGACTTAACTTTTATATTTCCACACAGCCTATATCTTTGTAAGTGATTACAGTTCAAATGAACTGGAAGTTCTATGATCAGCTTAGCTCTGATTTCCAAAAATTGAATGACTATATTTTACCAATTAATTGCTCTTATTTTAGAATAGGCAAGATGGTGCCAGATTGCTTTTGCATGTTATTTACACAAATGATATATTACAACCATGAGCCTGTGTATGTTCCTTCCATATAGCCGCATAAGTGTCGAATTTCACATCATTGGACTTTTTCTGAGTACACTGAACTGTGTGTCACTCTTAGGGGGTATCCTATCGCTCTTCATCAGTAACGGACTCTGCTCTCACTGTGGAGGCTTTGGACAAAAAAGTTGCAGAATTTGATACTGTGGAAGATCTGCTCAAGCACTTTAATCCAGAGTCATGGCAAGACGATCTTGAGAATTTGTATTTGGACACTCCTCATTATCGAGGCAGGTCATACCATGAACGGAAATCAAAAGGTAAGAAACAGAGGCTTGGGGGTTCTTCCTTAGGGGGATAGAAGTGTTAACAATAAGTGAGAATTAGTGATGTGACATATTTAATTCATTTTAAACACATGATTGCAGTCAATCCATTATCACACATATGTTTCACAGCATTTTCAAATGAAGTTCTGTATTATGCTCAAATTGTATTTGTATATGACTAAAACTGGTTTGATTCAAAGATCTGTAATAGTTTGGAGTCCTTATGAAAAACATTTAGGCTTCTTGCTTCTTGATAAATAAGGCATTACTAGCCCTGATTTTACAGTTGAGGCAACCAGAGTCAGGGGAAGCAAATAACTTGTCAAGATTGCATGGCTAGTTAACATCAGGAAGAAAAGTGAGCATCCTGGTCTCTTCCCTCCTTGGCTGTGCTTCTGCAATAACGTACTGTGCCCTTCTGTCAGAGATGAGGGTTGGCATTATCCAGAACTGTTGTCATTGGCAGGGGAGTAACCTGTTAAAACCCTGGCCAAAACTCAGTTGGAAGATTTTTGACTTTATGCATGTGATATATGTGGGGTCCATTCCAAACGTTTTTATTTATTTTCTATTATTTTTTTAGTCAAGATCTACTATGTACTTAGTACCAAGGTAGTTCACATACATTAAAGGTAAATGTCCCAAGTGAAAGGAAAAGAAGGCATGGGATAGTTTGGAGGAGCATATGTTCAATGGGAAGTTTCAACAAAATAGAATGAAGAGAAAAGAGAGGGGAACATTCAGGCAGAGAAAACATCATGAGTTAAAACAATAATACTAGAACTCTAAAAATAAATGTTTAAGTGATATGATCTTAGGAAAAGAATGTTTATTTGAATGTATTACTCAAATTAATATAGAAATGACATGAATGACCTCTGGCTGCATAAAACTCTAATTTCTAGTCTGTTCTATCTTTGCTTTATTTGATAAGATTTGTTATTAAAATTTAAACTAACGAGTCTCACAAGGCTGGCTTGCATCATTAGATGAGGAGATGTTTAGCTAAGATATGGCTTATTTCCCATACTTCGTAATATCAAGGGTACTTTTAAGAACTGAACCTGGGTTGCTTTAATATAACCAATAAGAACATTTGAGCCAATATGACTAGTAAACTCCTGCCAGGGCTTTCTGTTCATAACTTAGGTCATAAATCTTTTATACTTAAAATCCACAGTTAAAGGGGACAAAAGAGTCACAGGGGCCCTGATGTTATGGAGATATGTCATGTGCAGATCACTGTGACCCTCAAAATGAACCTCCTCAGAGCTCAGATTGGATTCAATTCAAAGCAAAAAATGCTTCTCTGTAAGGCATGGTGTATTGGGGCCTCTACTATGTCAACCTGAAGGAAAGTAAAATATTCTCATGTTTTAAAAACCTGAGGAAAAATATTTAAAATGTTATTGGACAGCCAGGCACGGTGGCACACGCCTGTAATCTCAGTGGCTCGGGAGGCTGAGGCAAGAGGATTTGAGAGTTCAAAGCAAGCCTCAACAACTTACCAAGGCCTTAAGCAACTCAGTGAGACCCCATCTCTAAATAAAATGCAAAAAGGCTGAGAGGTGCTGAGGCTGTCGCTCAGTGGAACAGCATTTGTCTAGCATATGTAAGGCACTAGGTTTAAGCCTTAGCGCCACATAAAAATAAAAAATAAAATAAAAGCATTCTGTCCATATACAACTACAAAAAAAATTTTTTTAAAGGGCTGAGGGTGTGGCTCAATGGTTAAGCACCTCTATCCAAAAAAAAAAAAAATGGTTATTCAACAATAGTGAGATCCAACTCTTTCTTCAAGCATCTTAACCACAGCATTTTCTTGAGGAAACCCTCCTTATCTCTCCTGTCTTTCTGATGCTCCTCTACCCTGCCCAGACAGTTAGGAGCTCTTTGGACACACCACCCTGTATATCCTATTACTGCATTGTTATTCTACCTTTGCATTTTCTCTAAGGGAATATGTGATCCCAGGACCTCCTATGGATCTTAACTCTGACTGAATACTTCAATCATATAAGGAACACTAAAGAGATACAGATGCCTGCTCACCTCAGGCACAAGAACTCAGACTCTCTGGGAGTTGGGGCAGGAATATTAATTCTATTTATAGATATGTTGAGGCATCCAGTATTAAGAGACTCGGTATTTTAGAAATTAATAGCTTAAATTTATATATATATATATATATATATATATATATATATATATACATATATAAAATATATGTGTGTGTATGTATGTGTGTGTATATACATATATATGTATATATGTATACACACACACACACACATATATATATATATATATAGTGTGTGTGTGTGAGAGAGAGAGAGAGAGACAGAGAGACAGAGACAAGAGACAGCAGGGATCAAACCCAGGACCTTGTTCAGGCCAAACTAGTGCTCCACCACTGAACTCTACCATTAACCCAGTGTATTTCTGAAGTTTATAGGAATCCACCCCATAGGCCAAGGAATGTAGTTTCATTAAGAATGCCTTTGGTTATTGAAATAACCTTGTAAGAACATTCAAGGTGACATTCGACTTGATGTTTGTGATAGAGTAAATATCATCTCTCTCCCCAGTTGGCTTAGGTTTCACTTCTTAATCATTTGTTTGAAATGCCCTGAAGGCAGATTTGTACCATTTCATTTAACCCTGCCAAGTTTCTGCATTTGTATAAATGTGCTGATTTTTTTATCATTCTTCTAATGATGAACCACCTGTGTGTATCACAAAAGTGAGGGAAGCCAGGTTTAATATTTCAGCTGGTCTTTTCTGCTTTTAGAACTTAAAAATACAAACTTATGGCTTGTGTCCTAATATTTGAAGAAGGGAACAGTGAATAAAGTGAAACAGAAAAACAGCTATGGATAATGGGAACCCATCAGATGTCAGCTACAACAGGAGCGGCATAGGATCTCCAAACCTTCCCTACTGTCAATATCACGGCTTAATGATGTCGTGCAGAAACACGCTTGTCATTTATTAATCTGGTGAGCATTTTTTATTTTGATTTACCCAGACAGATCAAAAATTATCAAATTTTTTTCATAATTCTAAAGAGCAGGATTCTAAGACACTTGAATGTGAATATATAAAACAGAGATTTATAAACCATGAAATAAGATCACATTGGGTAAGAACTTGCACAATGAACCAGAAAGAGTTAATGTTTTGAAATTAAATTTTGTATTTTGCTTCTGGCGTTTCCCTTGATAGAAGAGGTTAATGATAGGTTTTAGTTCTTTTTGAGAGTTGAAAATGAGAAGCAAGAGGAGAGTAAGAGTTTGGGGAGGAGAGAGAAAACAATGTTAAGCTAGAAATTTGATGCATATGGTCTACTTTATAAAATTCTCAAGTAACAGATGAGCTCAAACTTGTCTATAAAACCTTCTTGACTGAAGATAATATAACAAGTTAATATATCAGTTTCCTAGGGGGTAATGGAGGGAAGGGTAGCAAATGTAATTGCAATCTCTAGATAACTGAGTTGCAAAACCCAATTTTTGCCAATAATTTCAACCTACTGCTTTAACATCAAAGATGCTCAAAAGTTTTTAAAAAATCCTTTTTGAAGTTCAAGTTTCATTTACTTTTTCTAATGGGTATGCTAATGAGTATAGCAAATTTGCACAAAATTAGGTAAAATTATATGGATGTTCTTTCTAGAAGCTGCATAATTACCACCTAAGCCTTGGCATGAGCCCTGTAGTTCGAACTGAAGCTAAACTATGGTTCACTTAGAAGCTCTACCTATGAACTTGGGGGTGGTGTATATTTCATCAAGCTCATTGCAAAAATTTCAATGTTTCTAAATTAAGAAGTAATCAGCCCTGAGCTTTACTAGAGTGGACAGTAACTGGGAGGTGATTTATGTAGATAACAATGTGAAACCTATTCCTTTGCTTATTTCAGAACGTAGCTTTCTAGAATGGAAAGTGTGTTTGCCATTGAAAATCCAACACACAATGGCAAGGGGGGAGCAAGTTTAGAAGTAGTGATTAAAATATGAACAAAATCGTTATAAGTGACATGCATTATTTCTCAAATAATTTTCATTTTTAGGTATAAGGCTAAAATTGATGTACGCCACTCTTTAAAAAAAAGTCAATATTTTAATATTAAGTGTAGTAGACTTCTAGATATTCAATTAATAACAATGAATGAGGTTTGGGATGTATGAATTTTGCACTCTAAACGGTTAGATGTTTCCAGTTACTAACCCATTTCTGAGGATCTAATACCAATTCTGCTGTTTTTCATATGACAGTTTGGTCTAAGATCTAAAACATTTGACTCTAATTTACAAATTATTTATAAATAAATAACAATAACTGGCATAAGAAGCTGAGGAGTAAGTGACATAAATATGTTTCATATCAAGATATTATTTAAATTGCTTCTGAATTCTTTTAGGTCAGAATACTTTAAAAAAAAAGAAGAAGAAAAAGAAGAAAGAAAATCATGTACTGTTGTTTCTTTTTCTTGCCATTGCGTGATTACCACATGAATACAAGTTTTGCTTTTTCAAAATGATTTAGAATATAGAAAATCATTTCAAAATATATTAAGGCATATATATGTTTTAGAAATTGGGTGCTGGGGCTGGGGTTGTGGATCAGTGGTAGAGTCCTCACCTAGCGCAGGTAGCCTTTCTGAGTTCGATCCTCAGCACCACATAGAAATAAATAAATAAAAATAAAGGCATTGTGTCCACCTACAACTAAAAAGATATTGGGGGAAAAAAGAAAGAAATTGAGTGCTTATAACTTTCTCTTCTTATTTGATACATGCGTGAGAACTTTCAAAAAGCCCTTGACTGATACCAGTTATGAATTGGCTAAATCAGTCTTGAGATGTCAGCCCTCTGTAGCTGCCTCTCTTTAAATTAAACAGGCAGAGATACTGGGGACACCAAATCACAGTGGATCTATATTTCTAATTTTTATTATTGAAATAGGGTTAGCTTCATGGGGTTTCCTGAA